ATGTCTGAAATTTTCCTGTGATATATGCCCTGATATGTGTCTGTTTCAATCCTAGTTTTTACATGTCGTTACTTCTGTACTGGTCCTTTAGTTTTTCATTTATTCTCTCTTCTTTTTCATCTTTATTATTTCTGAAGTTCCTGGATGACTTAGTCAACTTGATCTTTTGGACCTTCTGTTAAGTTTTTAAATTTCATTTATCATAGTTTTAGTTGTTTTCCAAAAGCTCCTTTTATTTATTTTTTTATGTTTTTAATTTTTTTTTATTGAAAGATAATTGCTTTACAGAATTTTGTTGTCTTCTGTCAAACCTCAGCATGAATCTGGCATAGGTATACATATATCCCCTCCCTTCTGAACCTCCCTCCCATTTCCCTCCCCATCCCACCCCTCTAGGTTGATACAGAGCCCCTGTTTGAGTTTCCTGAGCCACACAGCGAATTCCTGTTGACTCTCTATTTTACATATGGTGAGGTAAGTTTCCATTGTTACTCTCTCCATACATCTCACCCTCTCCTCCCCTCTCCCCATGTCCATAAGTCTCTTCTCTATGTCTGTTTCTCCATTGCTGCCCTGTAAGTAAATTCTTCAGTACCATTTTTCTAGATTCCATTTATATGCATTAGAATATGATATTCATCTTTCTCAGATGCTCCTTTAAAAAAAATTAATTGATGTGTAATATCTTCTATCCTGCTGATATCAGTGAAAGTTTCTTTCTCCTTGCATAGTCTGGGATTCAGCCAAGTAGTTTTTTTTCTGTTTTTCATAATAGAGTTTTTCCTTACATGGTAGATGATTTGTTGTTGTTTATGTGTGTGTATTTGGGAGTGGTACACTAGGAGATGGAAGTTAGTTCTGCACACAGATGTGGAGTTTGTGGGTGTGACCTTCACTTTAGAACCATCTGTCTTGACTGTTTGCTTGGGGAACCCCTGATGTCAGTACTTTCAGATCCAGTTCCCTGAAAGAGGAGGTTTCAGTCTTCTATTTGGAGACTAAGGCGTGATAGAGGAGTGTGTTAAGTCAAGCTTCTCCAGAACCAATAGAAGATATAAATCCACACACACATGTATGTGTATATACATGTGTTTATTAAAGGAGTTGGCTTATGGAATTTTGGAGGCTGAGAAGTCCTAAGATACACTGTTTGTAACCTGGGGACCCAGAAATACTAGTGGTATGATTCAGTCCAAGTCCAAAGGCTCAAGAAGCAGGATTGCTAATGTCCAAGGGCAGGAGAAGATGGATGTCCCAAATCAGACAGATCTTGAATTCACTCTTCCTCTATCTTTTTGTTCTATTTTGACCCTCAGTGGACTGAATGATGGCCACCCACTTGGGGGAGGGTCATCTGCTTTACTCAGTTCATAAATTCAAATGCTAATCTCTTCTAGAAGCACCCTTACAGACATAATGTTTGACATAATGTCTGTTAGTTATCTGGGCATCCCTTTGCCCAAACAAGTTGACAGTTAACTATCACAAGGGGCATGTGAACTGCCCATGAATTTCTGATTTTTTTCAGTAGGATACTCCCCACTATTTGCTGCACCTGGTATTTTCCAGACCAGAGATCCTCTGTCTTACTTTCTCCAGAAAATAATTCTCTAGGCTTCTGCAGGGTGAAAAGAGCTGTTGCTTGGCTGTGCTTAGTAAAAGGTATAAGAATTCGATTCCTTTTTATTGCCAAATAATATTCCATTGTATGTATATATCATATTTTGTTAAGCATATAGCAATATAAGCTCACCTCAGAAAACAAGAAAGATCTCAATTACTGTGTTATGTTTATCCATTGATCATTTGATGGGCATTTGGGTTCTTTCCACTTTTTTGGTTATTATGAATAATGCTGCTGTGAACATTCCTGTATAAATGTTTGTGTGAACATATGTTTTTATTTTCCTAGGTACATATGTAGGAGTGGAAGTGCTGAATCATATGACAATTCAATGTTTACCTTTTTGAAGTATTGCCAAATTATTTTCCAAAGAGGCTCTAACATCTTACATTTCTCACCAACTATTTATGAGAGTTCTAATCAATCCATGTCTTTGTCAACACTGTTATTGTTTGTTTTTTGTGTTTTAGCCATCTTAGTGGGTGAAAAGTGGTGTATCATTGTGGTTTTGATTTTTTACTCAATAGCTAGTAATTTTGAGCTCATTATTTGTGCTCATAAGGCCATTTGTATATTTTCTTTGGAGAAATGTCTGTTCATATATTTGATCCATTTTAAAATTGGGTTATTCACCTTTTTATTGTTGTCCTAAGTGTTCTTCATGTGTTTTGGACAGGAGTCCCTTACTTGAGATGTGACTTGCAGATATTCTCTCCCATTCTGTGAGTTGTCTTTTCAAGTTCTTGATAGTGTCCTTTAAAGCACTCAACTTTTAAGTTTTCATGAAATCTGATTTAACGGTTTTTTTCTTCCATGACTGTGCCTCTGGTATGTATCTAAAAAATTATTGCCTTACACAAGATCAGTGATGCGGTGGTAAAGAACCTGCCTGACAATGCAGGAGATGCAGGAGACAGGGGTTTAATCCTGGGTTGTGAAAGCCCCATGCAGGAGGAAATGGCAGCTCACTCCAATATTCTTACCTATGAAATTCCATGGACAGAGGGGCCTGGTAGGCTATAGTCCATAAAGTCTCAAAGAGTTGGACGTGACTGAGCATGCACATGTGTAAGGTCATAAAACTTATGCCTATGTTTTCTTCTAAGAGTTTATAGTTTTAACTCTTATGTTTAAGTCTTTGATCCATTTAGAGTTCATTTTTTATATAGTGGAACATAGGGGTCCAACCTTGTTCTTTTGCATGTGGATACTCAGTTGTCACAGAACCATTTGTAGTAAGGACTGTTTCCCTATTAAATTGTCATGGTACATAGGTTAAAAATCAACCGAAGATAAATGTAAGGATCTGTTTTTGAACTTTCAGTTTTATTCCATTGATTTATATGACTTTTATGCTAGTACAGTACCACACTATTTTGATTGCTTTGTAGTAAGTTTTCAAATGGGAAAGTATAAATTCTTCAATTTTGTTCTTTTTAAAGATTATTTTGCCTACTACACAGGTCTTATATTTTTATACAGATTTTAGGATGAGATTGTCAGTTTCTATAAGGTCAGCTGAGATTTTGATGGAAATTATGTTATAGATTGATTTGGGATGTATGGTCATGTTAACAAAATTATTAAATGTTCCAATTTATGAATATAGGGTATCTGTCCACTTAAGTTTTACATTTCTTTCAATAATATTTTATGGGTTTTGTTGTATAAATTTTACTGGGTTTTTTTGTTAAATTTTTTGTTAAGTATTCTGTCTGACATTATTTTCAGCATACTTCTTTTCTTAATTTCCTTTCAGGATTATTCATTGCCAAAATATAGAAATGTAGTTAATTGTTTAATATATTTACATCTTACAACCTTAGTTCATATGCTTTGTAATTCTAGTAGTTTTTTTAAAAAAAATTCTTTAGGATTTTCTACATATAAGAACATGTTATTCGTGAACAGAGATAGTTTTATCTCTTCCTTCCCAGTCTGGATGCCTTTTATTTATTTTTCTTGCCTCATTGCCCTGGCTAGTACCTCTGATACAATGTTGTGTGGAAGTAGCAAGAGCAGACATCACTCCTCCTCAAGGAGGAGAAAGCATTTAGTTGTTCATGATTTAGTATGGTTTTAATCGCGGGTTTTTAGTAATGGATTTTCTTTTTTTCTCTTTTGGATGCACCACATGGCTTGCAGGATCAGAGCTCCTTGACCAGTGACTGAATCCCAGCCCTCGGCAGTGAAAGCAGAGAGGTCTGACTACTGGGCCTTCAGGGAATTCCCTAGGTGTGAGTTTTTTATAGATGTTCTTCACCAGGTTGATAATACTTCCTTCTATATTCCTAGTGTGTGGATTTTTTTGACTAAAAACTGTTGGGTTTTGTTATTTATTTCTCAATTTGAGATAATGGTGTGCTTTTTCTTTTATTCTATTAATATAGTAAAGGTTGCATGCTCTTCCTTCAGATTTATATCTAGAATGTAACCATTTGGGGTTCCTGGGTGCCACAGTGGTAAAGGATCCACCTGCAATGCAAGATGCGGGTTCCATCCCTGGGTTGGGGAGATTCCCTGGAGTAGGAAATGGCAACCCACTCCAGTATTCTTGCATGGAAAATTCCATGGACAGAAGAGCCTGGTGCGCTATAGTCCATAGGGTCGCAAAGAGTCGGACACGACTGAGCACCATGATGATGATAGTACATTATACAGATTGGTTTCAGATGTTAGACCAATCTTATATTCCTGAGATGTATGTATTGTGGTAATGATATATAATCCTTTTTATATGTTGCTGGCTTTGGTTTATAGTATTTTGTTGAATACTGGTGTGTAGTTTTCCTCTCTTCTGATATTTCTTTTTGGTATTGGTGTGTGTGTGCATGCCAAGTTGCTTCAGTTGTGTCTGACTCTTTGCAACCCCGTGGACTCCTCTGTTCATGGGATTCTCCGGGCAAGAATACTGGAGTGGGTTGCCATGCCTTCCTCCAGGGAATCTTTCCAACCCAGGGATCGAACCCACATCTCCTGCATTGGCAGATGGATTCTTTGCCACTGAGCCACCTGGGAAGCCCCTTGGTATTGGTGTCAGGATGTAACTAGCCTCTTAGGATGATTTGAGAATTTTTCTTATGCTTCTTTTAAAGGGTCTGTGAAGGACTGATATTAATTCTTTAAACATTTGGTATAATACATCTGGGCCTCTGCCTTTCTTTGTGAGCAGATTTTAAATTGCTAATTCAATATAATATTTTTGTTAAGGCCAGTTATAAGTGGGCGTTCATCTTGTAAAAATATGTATTATTTGATTCTTTAGCCAACCTTTCTCTGATATAATATCCAAATAGAAAGAAATTTTAATATATCTACTCATAACTTTCTCTTTTCTTTTGTTAAAGGTCTGTAATTATTCTGGAACCAGTAAACCATGGCATCAAAGAAATTTGCTGTTAAAGTAAGTATTGCTTAATAGCTTTCTTTAAAATGATTAATCACTTTCTAAAATAACCAAGTCCTGTATTAATTGAAAATAGAAGCCCTGAACTTTCCTTCTGCTTTTTAAATTTGGGAGACCACTGAAAACTTGAAGTCGGTGATTGAAAATTGAAAATGAGAAAATGGATAATTCATATGGTCATGGCAGTTTCTTGATTAAAGTCTTCTGTAAATGCCTTTGGGGCTAACTTGGTCCTTAATGTTAAAAATTACGATTCACATTGCATGCCCATGGCCTGATGTTTGATTGTGACAGAGCAGGAGAAGAGGAGGCAGGCCGCCAGCGCTGCCCCTGAGTGACTCCAGGAGCCAGTCCTCCTTCAGCGCCCTCCTCTGTTTCCCTCCCGTGGACATCGCTCCTTTGTCTGTTGGTGACTGGGTCTGAGGCCTTTCCCTGTGAGGGAGGAGTCGCCTGAGAGGGGAAGGAGAGGAGGATTGACAAACAGCGACTGATTGACCCTCCAGGTTGTGCATCCAGGGGTCCTGCCTTCCAGCAACTACAGATTCAGTCTCCCAAGAGGGACCACTGCATGAAGGATGCCTTCATATGTGCGTACTCTTTAGGGCATGTTCTCTATGCTAGTGTTTCATTAAGCAGAAATTCAGAGCGTCAAGTCACACGAATTCTAGTGGTTGTTAACCAGATCAGATACTATATAATACTGTAGTCATGTCTTACCTTTATTAAGTCAGTGCTCATTTAGATTTACAACATATTTATAAATTTCATCACTTACAATTATTTCTAGTATTTGTATATTCTGTATGTAGTGTTTCTTTCTGTGAGAGATTATAAGGTGAATTTTCACTATTTGTCTGTCTAGAAATGTATTTGGTTTTCCTCTAGAGAGTAAAGTTTGTTTAGAATTTCAAGTTGCACACCGTTTCTCCTCAGCACTTTCAAGGTATTTTCCCTTGTCTTCTGAAATCTCTTACTGCAAGTGAGAAATGTTTTACTTCTCAGTTGATACTAAAAACCCCCTTAAAATATAGTGACTTGAAACTCAAGCTGTTTTACTCACTCTCAGGATTCTGGAGGTCGCCAGATAAAAACCGGGTCGGTTTTTCCATTTGATGTTGACTGGGGCTGCAGTCATCTGGGGACTCAGGGCAGCTGGTGCGTCGAAGCTGACGACTCTCATGGCTGACTGTGCTGGAATCTCACCTGGGCTGTTAGTGTGGCCCTTCATTTCTCATTCAGGTGGCTGCGCAGTATGGCTTGGGCTTCTAGCTTGGTGGCTGAGTTTTGAGGGATGGCGTCCCAGGGCAAGAGTTGCCGGAAGAAGAAAGTGTAATTTGTCCGATCCTTGAAGACCTGGGCTCGGAAGTCTCAGATTCATTTCTTCTACATTCAGTTGGTCAGAGCACTCAGAGGTCAGCTCCAGGGAAGATGCAGCTCTTGATGTGAGAAGCAGCTTGTGCTCACAGGGAGGGGAGCCTCTGAGGGTGCATCGGTGGAGACCAGTCAGCTCAGAAATCTACCTGTGATTCCTTTCTCTGTTACCTTGCTTATCAAGCTACCTTGGTTCTCTGGTTACTTTTAAGAGTTTGTCTTTGATAATCTACAGTTTCCCTGTGAAATCATGAGATACAGACTTATTTTTATTTATCTGGCTCAAGATGCAATGTGCGTCTTCATTTGGAAGAGTCAAGTCTTGCATCAGTTTTGGGAAGTTTTGGCTTTTTTCTCTCCTAGTACTGCTCGTCTCTGTTCTCTCTGTTTTATTCTCAAAAAACCAAGATCATGGCATCCAGTCCCATCACTTCATGTCAAATAGATGGGGGAAGCAATGCAAATAGTGACAGACTTTATTTTCTTGGGCTCCAAAATCACTGTGAACGGTGACTGCAGCCTTGAGATTAAAAGATGTTTGCTCCTTGGAAGAAAAGCTATGACATACCTAGACAGGATATTAAAAAGCAGAGACATTTCTTTCCCAATAAAGGTTTGTCTAGTCAAAGCTATGGTTTTTCCAGTAGTCATGTATGGATGTGAGAGCTGGACCATAAAGAAGGCTGAGTGCCAAAGAATTGATCGTTTTGAACTGTGGTGTTGGAGAAGACTCTGGAGAGTCTCTTGGACAGCAAGGAGATCAAACCAGTCAATCCTAAAGGAAATCAACTGTGAATATTCATTGGAAGGACTGATGCTGTAGCTGATGCTCCAATACTTTGGCCAACTGATGTGAAGAGGTGACTCATTAGAAAACACCCTGATGCTAGGAAAGATTGAAGGCAGGAGAAGGGGAAGACAGATGATGAGATGGTTGGATGGCATCATCAACTCAATGGACATGAGTTTGAGCACACTCCTGGAGATGGTGAAGGACAGGGAATCCTGGCGTGCTGCAGTCCTTGCAAAGAATCAGACCTGACCAAACCTCTGAAAGACAGCGATTCTTCTGGAACTCTTAAAACTTGTTGGATAATCCCGTATAATTGTTTCTTATGTGCTGGAGGGTGATATTAACTCATGCAAGAGTGAACCCTTGCAGGCTCTCTACTCAGAAACGGACTGGGCCTCTTGCAAAGCTTCACCCAAACTGACTGTGATCCATTTGGGCAGACAGTCCTCATCAGGTGCGAAGCTTGGGCCCAGGCACCTGATTATGCCAGAGTTGGTCTGTTGATTTCCAAAGCATACACAATGCTGTGACAAGTTCGGCTACCAGATTCCTCAATCTCACAGCTGCACCAGGTGGCGCTAGTGGTAAAGAACCAGCCCGCTTGATCTCTGGGATGGGAGGATCTTCTGCAGGAGGAAATGGCTACCCACTCCAGTATTCTTGCCTGGGAAACCCCATGGACAGAGGAGCCTGGTGGGCTGCAGTCCACGGGGTCGCAGAGAGTCACAGCTTAGAGACTGAACAACAGCAACAACAAAATATTTTCAGAATCTTTAAAAAAAAAGATACAAATGAGTGTATTTATAAAACTCAAACATACTCACAGACATAGACGTGTTTCCACTGTTACTTACTGTTTGAAATACATGGTGGGAAGACCTACAAGCCCGGCCCTGCAGAGCCGTGGGGTGGTTCCAAGTTTACTTCTGCTGGAACCTTTGGCACTGTGGTGGTTTTGGACCAGGTTTGTGTTCATTTCAGGGCTTGGGATTCCACCACCTGTGGGCTGTCTGACTTTGTAGGCCACAACCAAGTGTGGCACGAGCCTTGTGCTTTCAGTCTTTTCAGCTCTTGTTCTCGCTCTTCTCCCTTCCCCTCCCCTTTCTCAGAACCCTGGGTGGGGGCAGGCTTCCATGCTGCTTCCCTTGGTCAGGGAGCAGAGAGGTTTTTGTATTTTCGTGAAGGCCACAGTTTCTCAAGAGAAAGAAGGAAAAGCTCCCATGAATAGCTTTTATTACAAGAGATTGTCGACAAACTTATCCACATGAACCACAGTATATTATATGAAATATCTCCAAATTGAGTATTTATTTCTATAATATTTCTGTTTCAAGCTTTGAATTATGTCTTAAGCTTGTATGAAGAGCTGAAAGTTGGAGTTCTCCAGGACTCCTGATTTAACTGGAATCAGCTTATTCCTGACTCCTCTCTCTTTTTTTCCTACCCCCTTTGGGCATTAGGATGCCAGCTGTCAGCTATCCTGGCTTCCAGGTACTCTGACAACCAGGCTTGAACCTTTCAAAGGCATGATTATTTTTTTTTTTCAGCTTGAGAGAATTATCATTGACATATAACCCTGTGTAAGTTTAAGGTGTACAGTGTGTTGGTTTGAGAAACATATAAATTGCAAAATGTTTATTTACCATAATGTTTGGTTAACAAACATATCCTTCACATAATTACTGTTTTCTTGTTATGGTAACAACATTAGATCTTTACTGTCAAATATGCGGTACAGTGTTGTTAACTATAGTCACCAGGTTGTATATTAGACCCCTGGAACTTTGTTGTTTTTTAGTCACTAAGTCATGTCCTAGTCTATTGTGACCCCATGTACTGTAGCCTGCCAGGCTTCTCTGCATGGGATTTTCCATACAAGCTTATCTTATAACTGAAAGTTTCTAGCCTTAAACCAGTATCACCTCATTTACCCCACTCCTTCAACCTCTTGCAACCACCATTCTACCATGTTTCTGTGAATTTAAAGTTTAAAGATTCCACATATAAGTGAAATCATACGGTATTTGTCTTTCTCTAAGTTACTGCACTTAGCATAATGTCCTCAGAGTCTATGTTGTTGCAAATGGCAGAATTTTCTTCTTCTCTATGGTTGAATAATATTCCACTCTATGCATATACATTTTCTTTATTCATTCGTGCGCGAATGGACATTTAGGCTGTTTCCATGTGTTCACTATTGTGAATAATGCTGCAGTGAACACAGGAGTGCAAATATCTCTTCAAGATAATGATTTCATCAACATTGTTAATAGGCTATACCCCAATACAAAATAGAAAGTTAAAAATAAATGTAGTAGGGATAAAAAGATAGCAATTTCATATTTCATATCCTTCAGCTATAATCCCAGGAGTGGGATTGCTGGATCATATGGTAGTTTTATTTGAAAATTTTTGAGGAACCTCTATTTTCTCTAGGTGTGTCACCAATTTACATTCCCACCAGCCATGTACCAGGGCTCTCTTTTCTCCACATTCTCACCAGCATTTGTCTTTTTTCGTAATAGCTGCAATAGCTTGTATGGTTATAGCTCATTGTGGTTTTTATTTGCCTTTCCAAAGGAAGGATATAGACTAATACTGTTAGGGATTTTTTAATTTTATTAGTCTTTTCAGAGAACCAACTTTTGGCTTTGATTTTTTTTTTCCCCCCTGTAGGGTACTTGTTTTCTGTTTTATTGATTTATTTCTTATTTCCTTCCTTCTATATTCTTTGAGTAAATTTGTCCTTTTTCTAGCTTCTTAAGGTGGAAGTTTAAACCACTGATTTTGAACCTTTCTTTTTTTCTAATATATGCACTTAAAGCTATAGATT